ATGATTATGTTTATGTTTACATACCTCTTGACGAAATGCTATATTTTAAATCATTCAACGACACCAATTACAACGAATCATACCCAAGTCTCACCTTGTCGTTCTCCGCTTACCACATGGGATGATCATTACAATTTCACGGCTGACCGCATAACAATGAGATATATTCATACGCCGCCCTACATCCCAAATGGGCAGTGTTAATTTTAATAGTTACGGTACCTATATATATATATTTTTCAGTTTACGACAATATTAATCTGGTATGAAATGATATTACACCCCCAGTCTGTTAAAGATCAGTCACAAGGGGCTGAAACCCTTTATATTTTCTGCCGAGCGCAAGAAGGATTCGGATGCATGGTTAGAGAAAATGCAGTTAGTTTCTGTCACGTTCAACCAACCTGATGTTGTCCAAGAAAGTGAAAACACAGAACTTGTAATAATGGCAAAAGGTATTGAATTGTTATTATATACATTTATGTATCATTTGACTATGTTGATCATTATAAATAAATGTACTTTTAGATTGGATTTGAATGGATATCTATATAAATGTAACAACATAATTTATTTGCAACATCTCTATACATTTTTTTTTTTTTATCAAATCTGACTTTGGTTTTTTTTTTCTTTTTTGCTGATTCTTTTTTTGTTGCTAAGTGTCATTGAGAATGGTTGAAGATGAGTTGTCTCATGCAAAATGCAGAAAAAATCATAAAAGTATTTTTGGATTTAACTTGCTCATTTTGAAGTAACATAAAAATTATCAACTTGAACATAGAAATTAGTGTACTAAAAAATGTTTGTAACCCATAATTTTACAGCCGTAAATGATAGAAACATTTTCTGTCACTGGAAGTGTTTTATTATTTCTATTATCATTATAAATCCACATTTGTAAAATTTAATAAAGTCTATGCTTAGGTTAATAATTTGTATGTTACAGCAAAATAAGCAAGTTCATTTAAAAATTATTTTTTATGATTTTTTGTCATTTTCAAGGGACAGTACATATTTAAAATAACAACCATAGATTATTTCATAATTATCCAGCCATAACAAAATCTTATACAGATGATTCAGATAGATACCAATGCTTTCAGTACCATTGTTATTATTAAATAATGTTCTTAATTGCTAAAATAACATCATTCAGTTTTGATGATTTTATTAACATAAACACTTGTGGTAAAGTCAAAACTGATAAGTTTTGTTAATATATTTTCTGCAAGTCTGTGAACATCATTTGACAGAAACAAATTTGATGTCTATCATATGTTGCAATAAATAAATGTACTTATCTGATGGCTGTTATCATAAATCTCTGGTTTTCTATTATGTATAGTTTAGCTTTCCCATTATACTTTATATGGAACTCTCTCATTTGTGTTAATATTTTGCTTAGGAGTATTTATATATTTTTGTATATATTTCCCTTTATTCACTGTCACTCAAAATGTATATATATATATATATGTGTTGTATTCAATATATAGTTCAAGATAAAAGTGAATATAATCCACTTCTGGAAATTCCACTTAACTCTGAAAAACAATATTAAATTTAAAAATAATTATATATTTATATGACATTAAAGTTTGCTGCATGTCTCTGTAAACATATAAACAGTGCTAAAATATAGCAAACAAATTATGTTATCACAGTGAGAATAGTCCATTAACAAAACATTCCTTATCAGTTGTAAGAATTGAACCTTCAAACTTTTTATTGTCAAGTGTTAACCTATCTTGTGCATTCTTGGTGAACACTAACAAATGTGCTATACAATCTGTAAGAAACTCTCTTTTATATTACTACCTCGGAGCCAACAGCCTACCAAGCATAAGGAGTAGGTTAGTTTTATCGGCATACATTAATTTATATATAACATCACAATAACAAATCACCAAATGCATAGAGGCTTTTTTTGCAGGATTCACTATATACAAGTCCAACTATTATTATTATTTTATCATTTATTAAATCAATTGTTATATTTATAGATATGGAAGGTTACCATAGTGAAAGTGACGATGAGGACAGCTCTTCAGTATCTTTGTCAACTAGTGGAAGTCATCAGGATGTGGATGTACCATTGGATGTTAGTGGTCAAAGGTCATCTTCGGCTAGTGCAGGTGATGAGTTATTACTTGCGGCAATTGATTCCGCAGATTCTCCATGCTTAAAAAAAGCATCATCCATGAGTTTACTTGCCATAGAGGACGGTTTACATACCCAAAATGGCAGGTTGCCAAACAGTGAATCAGGAACACTTATTAAATCAAATTCTTTTTCAAGTCTTACTGCTCATGCAACAAAACCAAAGGTCAAATCTGGGCATCCGGCAGCAAGCCCTGGAGTAATGAGGCGTCTGAAAAAGGCTTTGAAATCAAAATCTAATACGGATATAAAACGGAGCTACACAACAGCGTCCGAATACACAAAACACAAGAAAAATTCTGCTCCTGCAATCAATACAGAGGTTGATCACTCAAATGAAAAGCAGGAACATAAACCAGGTACTTACCAGTCAGGAATTGAATGGCAAAAATTCTTCCCATTTCACTTTTAATATATAAATGCACAATTATTCTTTTTTCCATTGTATAACAATTTGTTCTTGTACTATTTGCTTCATTTGTTGTCTGCCAGCACTTTATCATCAGCTTTGCTTCAAAAGTGTACTCTATTTTTATGAGGCTCATCCGGTGATGCAGGAATAGACCCAGGGACACTTATACTAATAATAACTAAAAATAATAATAATTGAGAATTGATATAGCGAAAATTATAAAACAATGTTAAAATCAAGTGTGCTTTAGACTGAAAGTTATGTAGTGTCCTTCAAAAATGATGTTTTGATGTTGGCTTTGAAAGTGAATATGTTGAAGATTGGTCAAAATGTAATGGTAGAGAATTCCAGAGAGTAGTAGCTGCAAATGTGAAAGATCTGTTGCCGATTATTTTGACGTTGGTTCAGGAGAGAAGGCATTGGTGAGAGGATCGATGTAAACAAGTAGGAAAATATTTGGAAAGGAGGTAAAGAAGGTATGATGGTGTGCAAAGATGAGAGCTTTGAAAGTCGATAGGAGAATTTTGTATTTAATCCGGTCATCGATTTTAAGCCAATGAAGATTATGTATAATGTGTGTGATGTGTGAATGTTTGTGAATGTTAGATTCTTGCAGCAGCATTTTGAAGTCGTTGAAGACGGTAAATAAGGCTGTGATTAGTATTGCTTTTGTCAATCCTTGGCTCTTGTGCCTAAAATAAGATTAAAATTAAATGTGGGTCATTACCTAATAATGTCCCTTAGAAAGACTCATCTTAAAAACCAATTACATAATGGACAGTGTAAAGTGTCATTTAAGGCTAAAGGAGTGTAGTTGCAAGTGGCCTGAGTCTCTCATGCATTATGGGAAATCAGCACAATCTCCTTTCCAGCCTCCCACTATTATTCTATCATACGTTTGTACAAGCAAACGTATGATAGAATAAAAATAAAAATAAAAATTAAAAAAAATAAATAAATAAAATTTAAAAAAAAAAAATAATAATAATAATAATGATCGATCCTTTGTCATCAGGTTGTTTTAGCTCTTTTCTTTCTGTGAAGAATGTATTCAATTTTTGAATAAAACGTTACACAATAAATAAATAAATAAACTATTATTCTTATTCCGTCTCTAAATTAACTTCCTCGTTGGTGGTGCTGTCCAGAATGAGAAAATAATATGTTTAATGTGTTACTGATTCCTTGAGTGAATGTGTTAAGAAAGCACATTAAACTAGATTTTCCCGACATGGGCTCTCCCAACTTAGGACCCCTGTAGTTGCGTTCACTGGGAATGAACATAGGGTCATGGTATTGGAAGGCCGGCAAGCACATTATCCACCTAAATGCGTCTCCCACAAAATGATTTTCTTATGTGTTTATCAATATTGAATGTCATTCCTATTAACTTTAATGCTTTCTTTTCTTTCATTTTAAAAGCTTAGCTTAACAACAATGTGCCTGTGAACTTGAATACTAACTGACTTATTTTGCCATATTTTTGTTTGGTAGTCTGGTTTTGATTTAAATGTTTTAGTTTTTTAATTTTCATTTACTTAAAAACTTAACCAGAAATTATTTTCAAATTTATAGTTGAATTCTGGGAGCTTATAATGCTATAAGTCTTTGTATTTAAACATTGGTTTGCTAAACAAGAGCAGTAATTCTCATTTGACCTTTGGTGTTTATTTTTTGTTATCATTTTTGAAAATACTGTAATAACATTCCTCTCTCAAATGTATTGCCCAGGGTAACCTTCAATTTCAACTTCTAGTTCACTCATTTGTTTGAATATGATAAATTTATATATTTATTTTTAATATCACTGTAATTATAAACCTATACTGTAGATACAGCAATAGATGAAATATCTTTATTATGTATATCATTGTTATTTAGAATTAATATTGTTTTATTAACTGAATACCATGTCAAAGGCTAAAATATAGTGTGAAGTGCTTTATAGCACATTAACTGTGTAAGCTAGGGATAGTAATAATTATTATTATTGTTATTTATTTTATTGTAATTATTTATTATTATTTAATATTTTTATATTAAATAATAATAATAAATATTATTATTATTATTATTATTATTTTTATTATTTTTCTACTACTGTATAGGTTTGTAGTCATGTACTGTTTAGTTAGAAAATTATTATGATCATTTAACTTAATTTAGCTTCAAGTGTGATATAATATCAAATTTTAAAAAATTATTTATTATTTATAAAATATATTATTTTTATTATCTAAAACTTTACTTGTTCATTCATTAAGATAGGAAAATAATGTTCTCAATATTTTATCAGATTTTGTTATCAATATTATTATTATTATTATTTGTATTATTTCTATTAATTATCATTGTTTATCTGGTTATTATTATTTGTTATTTTTATTGTTAATCATATGATTTTCTAAATTCTTGACATTACAAAACACAAATACAAAAGAGTGGCTGAGTGAGAAATTTGTAACCAATTTTTGTTTTGTCTGTTAACATTAAGAGACATCAACTAACATTGATATCATCACTATTAAATCATGTTTATTAATAATGTAATATTAAATGATTTCTCACATTTCAGTATCACTCTAAATTTAATATGAAAACATTATCTAATTTATATTATTTATTATTGTTGTTCTATTTTATCATTATGACCATTATTATCTTATTAAGTTAGCTGATGATTTTAATGTATTTTTTTTAAGAAGTCATTAGCTTTCATTGTTATTGTTGATATACTGTAGATCATCTTTATATTACTGTAAATGTTTTAATAAGCGGCAGTGCGTATAAAAGTTGTTTAATACTTCTGTTTGATGTTTATTCGAGAACGACTCTTATTCCAGAGCAACACTTTTCCAAGAGTTGACCTTTTTTCGAGACTGGTCCTTATTTTAGATCCACAAATATTAAAAATTACCATAGTGCTAAAATGTTACCATTTATCATACATAGGTTTATATCACTTGTTGCAATATTAGTATTGTTTAATTTGTTGTCGGTTTACTGTATTAATAGTATCCCGCAATTATTCAAGAACGGTGCTTATTTAAGACTGGCGCCAAATAGTATAGAATTACAAGAGGTCCGACTACCCTAAATTTGTATGCATGCAATGAAACGTTCAAAAAATTACTACCAAGAAAGGGGTCACCCTGTTTACAAACACCTTTTACATGCTTTTGAAGGACATCTTCTAGATCATGATAGTACCATTTTTAGATGGGATTGCATTTCAATGAAACCCCAAGAGTCGGACCTCTTACAATTCTGTACTCTTTGGTGGCGCTTAATGGATAATTTACGATATTTCTTAGTTTCCTAAGTGATATTAATTTATTTTAACTATGTTTTTTTTTTTCTTATAACATAATAGCATCATCACTCGTGGTGTGGTTCTGGTTTGGTGGTGCTTTTCATCTTGTAAACCAAAGTCCTGGATTTATCCTGGCAAAAAATTAACTAGGTTTTTTAACAGAATGAAAAACAGTGCCACTCCTCAAGACGATTGAGTGTCCAAGTCTTGAGACTTTGTAATAGATGATCAGTTTACTCTTTAAAGTTTTGTCTACACTATCAAATTTTATGTGACACAAAAATGTGATGTGCCCATATATGGGTACGATGATGTCATATCACATATCAAATTGTATCAAAAAAGTTGAACGCGTTCAACTCTATGTTCCATCAAATTTTATGTGACGCTTTTTTGATGAAATTTGTGTAGACAAAGCTTAAGCCTGATAAAGAGATTTGCTTGCTCAAAATGATCAGATATCTGCTACCCATAATGCCTCATAAAGATATTTTATTATGGAACAAGAGGGCTCTAAGACTCTATCCACACTACTTTTATGTGACACATTTGTGTGATGTGTCCATAATGATGTAATATTGCACACACGAAATATGGACATATCCCATTTATTTGTCTCATAAAATTTGATATCGTGAACAGAGATCAAAATGAAAGCTCTCCACTCCCAAACACCCAAAAAGAATCTTGGTTGTTATAAAGCTTGATGATCAGCCCTCTCCTCCCAAAGCTACACAAGAAAATTTGGGTTTATGGGCGTAAAGGCCTGTTCATACTAAACTTTCATACAGAAAATAAAAGAAATAAGAGAAGTTTTACACTAGAACGATTCGATAACGACGTATTGTATTTCGATAACGACTTATCCTAATACTTCTCTTATTCCTTTTATTTTCTATATGAACGATTGCTTTTAGCTTTTTATCATTAAAATGTTATTGTTGCAAGTATGAAAAGGCCTTTTAGGTTCCAAATGATAGCTTTTATAGGTATACCCTTGTTGAATATTACAACTTGTATATAAATGAGTTTATTTACATTTATAGAGACAAAGGGTGATGTGCTCGACTTTTTGAATGTAGTGCGAGATAGTGGCACTGTTGTGCGGGGGTTTGGTCGCAGCAGTACAAGATCGAGTATAAAAGGTAGAGACTTGTTCCGAAAGCCAACGATTCTGCACAGGGATCCAACAAAGAATAAGCTTATGTTACAGAAGAGAGCTTTAGAAAGAACAAAGAAGGTAAGGATCTTAGAATATCTTAATAGTATATATATATGATAAAGATGAACATGTCAACAATTGTAGTAGTATACGGATAAGGATGTTTAAATAAAGATAATAATAAATGTTTGATTATATAATATTTGAATTGGACAAAATTAATAAATAGTGTAATAATGAAATAGAATAATACTTTATTTGCTTCATACTTATTTGACAATACAGGTCTCCTTCTAATTAAAAACTACTTTTGAGACATGGGAGACTGGGCTCTAACCCCTAAATTTTGTCTTATTCAGTGAAAACTATTAAAAATAAATCGCTTTGTGCACCAACGACATTCCATATTACTTCTTTTCACCAAAGGCTTTCCATACAGCAGTATACAGTACTTTTCTGATTCCCATCTAAATTCAACAACATACCAAAAACAAACATTGGTGGTATCTCCAAAATTATCTAACACTGGGAAATCAATATCTTAGAGACTTGTGGCAAGTCTAGGACAGGGTTTCCAAAGTCTTTAGCAGCTTTGGTCTCTAATTGGAATAATAAAGATAAAAGACATTTGTTAAATTGGGACCACAGAAAAGTGGTCTTTAATTGGAGGTGGTCTTTAACTAGAGGGAGACCTGTATATACATAATTTCAAGAACTGAGTGTCCCTCCCAGAATTTATTGAATTCATCTCTTCAATTGTATTTTTTAACGTTTCTACCCTAGGCAAAACAAACGGAGTTGGACATAGTGATGAAGCTGTTGTCTGAGCCATTGACGGCAGCTGCACTTAGGGAGTGGAAAGAAATAAACGGTAGTATTCTTGCTAAAGATGAAAGCCATTCAAGCAGCGAGGAAGAACAGGATGAGGAGGAAAACGTAAAGCAGGTTGGACAGGCAAACGGAGAACAAGAAGATGGGAAGCACAATGGGCAGGAAAATGGAGAGCACAATTTGGAAAACCAAATGAATTGTAACCCTCTGTTAGTTGTCTGTGAACAATCTAATAATATTCATGAACAAGATGGCTCTGTAAATTCACCTGAAATATCATTAGGGGATACAACTGGAAAAGACCTAGAGATTTCTTTAAATACAACAAAATCGACTTTAGAAACTGACCTTGATTCTGTGGATGTTTTAAGGAATAATAATGGTGCTGAGAACTTTGAGGATCCTGATGATCAAACAGACAATGTGGTAAAACACACAACTAAAGACTGTCAAGAACGCACAGACAATATTCAAGGAAATGACCTAATTTTTGTTGAGGGATATGAAACACATTTGTAAAATGAAAGATGAAGAATTTTATACGATAAGGTTTGAGCTGCAGTAGCGCCAGTGGGGGACCAGGGCAGCCAGGGGCCCTCATTGTGGAGAGGTGGTTCCTCGTTGAGGTGTAAAAGATGTAAAAACCACAAGATGTCAATTAGAGAAAAAAATTTAATTTCTACAGAATTAAAAACACCAAAATCCATAAAATATGCTGTTAGAAACCCCTTCCGAGGGTCTCTGGGCAGCCTGTGACCCAACCCACTTATGTGCCGTCACAGAATTCTACGCGCTGTTGAGTACTATTGACAGCTTGTCGGGCAAATCCTGGTGCCACCACTGAGCTTCAGAAAGATAATTAAGAAGTGGTGAGAAGGGAGTATTGAGTCACTCAAATGTGACATTGGTGTACTTAACTCCTGGTGAAATAGTGGCAGTTATTGTGAGCTTCCAATTAATAATGATGATTGTGAGTTTGTATTGTTTAAATAACAGAAATGTTAAATTTTATCTACTTTTATCTTTCTTTACCCAGACGTATATATGTGTATATGGCAGACTGTGTAAAACCAAATATATAAACAGTGGCATCCAAGGATTTCTAAAAGTTTCTAGTAATATGAAAGATAATGCACAAAATCGGACCAGTAGAAGTAATGTATTAGTAATAATAATAATAAGAATATTTTTTTCGATAATAAAAAAAAATTAATGCTTGTTAATGTATAAAGTAAAACTTAGTAAACTTAGTTTTACCAATAACTCATTAATATTTGTTCATCTTTAAACAAAAAAGATGGTGCTCAGGCACCCTTAGCACTGTGGGTAGGCCACCGAAAATGGTCTGTGCTAAAAATGCTGCAAGGTTTAGCGATATTCCTCATTGAATGGAGAAGGCTGCATGACTTGTGAAAAATGCTGTTTTATAAACATAAGAATTAGAATTAAACATAACAAGTTATATTTTATGATAGGAATGAGAATGATGAATGAGTAGTTGACTGATTGATAGGTGGTAGACCTAGATCGACAGACTTTCCCGACATATATCAATCACACTGAACCTGGCCAATCAGAACATAGCCAAGAGTGTATGCATAAAACCGAAAGGTCCACTGATAAGATAGGATAATACATAATCCAATTATCAAAATGCATGTTATGTTGGGATTCAATATTTGGACATTAATTATGTCCAAATTAATTATTAATTATGTTTGTTAAATAATTTCGAAATATTGAATCCCAACATGATGACGTGCATCTCGATACTTAAAGTATGTGTATTATTCTATCGAATGTATGCAGGTTCTACAAAATCATGTTCTTAACTAGATGTGCACATTTGTTGTTTATTTTTTGTGTGACCTATACTAACAATTATCAAAAGGGCTGGATGCAGCAAAAAGGTCCATTGATAGCTGATCAATGTATTTATAAATTGATGTATTAATATGTAATTGATGGATAGATAACTGGTGATCGATTGATAGATATATTAATTATTAATAATTTTATGATATAATTGATATAAACTAAATTGGTGATTGATATTTATTCATTGAGAGGTGAATAATCAATAGATGATTGATCATTTGATGATTGAATGATTGGTTAAAGGTTAAAGGTTATTTATTTATATTGTGCAAAATACGACAGAGTCTATGCTCAGAACAAGTGAGCAGATGTAATTGAAAAATAAGAAAAGAAATTTGGTTGCTTGTTGATTTATTGATAATATGTAATTGATAAGAGTGTATGGTGTAGTAATGGATCAATTGATTCATTGATGTAGAAGCGGTTTGGGGCAGCGTTAAAGGTTTAGTTTCCCAACCCTGAGATCAGGGTTTCAATCCCTCGCTGTGCATTTCGCTTGTGTCCTTGAGCAAGGCACTTTATCTGCATTGCTTCTTTCACCCCAGGAGTATAAATGGGTACCTGGTGGGGTTGCTTGCTCCTGCACTGATTACAGCAGCAACACTTAAGCATGTGGATCCAATTTCCAGGGATTGAAGTGTTTCGTATCTGCAAAGAAATGCACTATATAAATAACCAAAAATAATATATGTAGAAGTAACTGTCAAATAAACACAATAAGTAGCTTTCCTTAATATATTATATTGAATTGCCTTACCTGTCAAACAACTGTTTCATGTGTGGTAGTAAAATACAAATTTCCATTCAACTGAAATACAATATATCTATCTCATTATTAAAATAATTGATATATTTATTCGATTATTTATCATTTTCTTTTTGGTAACAAAACCAAAGATTCTATATAGCTGAGGAGGGTTTGTTGTATCAGTGGAAGAATAACAACTGGCAATTGCATCTTTAAAAGTCCCTGGAACTTTGCGTCAAAAATAAATAGATAAATTAAACTTTTATTATTTTGTTAATAACCTTATTTATTGTGGGCCATTAAACAAAGTAGGTAATTGGGGACAACCAATGCACTAAAACCTTATCTCTTAATGAGACTCAGCAAACACAGTGAAAAATCCTAGTATTTATAGCCAGGATTGGACTTGAGACTTTGGTATTAAAATGCAAGCATCTTAACCACCAAGCGAGAATTCTCTATTCTCTATATCCACCATTAATGTAATATGTTTGAACTCCCTGTACAACATATATAATGTATGAGGCTTGCTGTCCCAAAATCGGCATCAGTGACCAAAAAAGGAAAATTGACTTTTTAATATATTCTTATTCTCCACATCATAAGCTTTAAAATGATGGGTGATTTGCTGGAATCAAATTAATATTGTCAAATTTATGAGTAAAAATATTACAGCTTCTCTGTACTAAAGTATATGATACTGGCACCTTTTTATGCTATTTACTCAGTTTAACAATTAGCGACAGTGTGCTGGTTTTTGGGTGGGCAAGTCTTATATAATGATTTATCTGTATTTTATTATTTTTTATAAAGTTGTATTTCTCTTTAAATAATTGGTTTTGTTATTGCCTTTATCTGATCATACTAAATTAATTTGAATGTCATGATTGGCTAGTCACATGATTAGCTAATCACATATCACATGATTAGCTAATCTCATGTCACATGATTAGCTAATCACATGTCACATGATTAGCTCATCACACTAATAAAAATGATTAGTTAATCACATGATTATACTGTATAATCACATGATTACCTTATCACATAATTTTAACAATTTGAAATATCAATTGTAAATAATAAAACTAATAGTTTTTCTAAATGTCTATGAACTTGTAAATTAATATTTGTTTAAATATTATATTTCAGTTAAGTGAACTGTCATATTTATCTATTGTGTCCAAATATTAATAATTATTTTTTTTGTTTTCATTAATTAATAATTACTTGGATACAATTAATGTTATTTATTGGAAATTTTAAAATTAATTTAATATATTAATTAAACTGAATTATGAATGCCAATATTACTGTTGTATATAAAGTAGTTAATGGCAGAAGATGAAGGATAAACTGAGCGTAGATTATTTCTATACTCTTAACATTATGTATATCATATTCATGTACCTGTAGGCCTAAATCTTTGGTTATCATGTTGTATTCATTGTGGATGAAGTAATTTATTGCATTAGCTCTTGCTGGATATAAATTTCATTTTGGAGATGTATCTGGTATGACCTCCTACTCTTCGTCTCACCTTCATTTAATCCATTATTATTTTTTTTTTTTGCTTTTTAAAATACATAAAAAAAAACTAAATAACAATTGCACCATTTCAGTCTTTTTTCCATTTTTTTTTTTTTCATTTACTGTATTTTCAATACGATACAACATTGCCTTAATCAGCTTTGTATACTATAAATGGGTTCCTGTGTATACATATGAAGAAGTTTCACCCCAAATGGTGCTTGTGCAATTAATTACATCAAATGTTGATGTTATTTTCAGAACGAAATGATAACTTTTGTATTCATAATCTCTGAACTGGAGTCAAAACTCAAAACTATACCCAAAAAGAAAATTGTGCTTTGTTTTGGCATGGGCATAGGGTGGAGGGAAGTAGGGTTGTCCCCCTTTTTATGGCAATTTAGTTCCAAGTGGGTTAAAATACTAAAAATGATCATTAAGTTTTCATTGGAAATAGGGATTTAGTTCAGAATTCTGAATTCTTCTTTTTGCATCCTTCGGACGAAAACCAAACTACGCATGTGCTTGTTTATCTTCTAGGCTTCATAATTCATTTGCAACACTTATCCTAATTCGATATCTTCTTCCCTACGGTTAAACAGTGGCATGTCTATTGGGAGGATAAAAAATTACCTTAAATTTGCCAGCTAGCACCAGGCAACCCCCCACCCCTTAATCATCAAGCCCTTCCACTAAACCTTGGCTCCCCCACCCCATGTCAATTATCTTAGATATACTGCTGCATTTTAGGTAGAATATGTTTAGTCCACACTTGAAAGATGTATGATTTTTTAGATAGAGGGGGTGGTGATTTTGAGAATCTATCCTATCATAGGCCCCAATTCCCCGAGTTTCTCTAGTACATGAGGCATATATAGGTACATAATCTCAAGGAGCCTTTTATATGAGGTTTGTCGTGGTAGAAGACAGTGGAATGACACTCTGTACAGTATTTTGGCATTAAAAGCTGGGGGAAATACTCCCCTCAGTACCGTCACTAGCAGTAACACAGCGTTGTATCTGAAGCCTGGTTTGCATAAAATCACTTCAAATATCACCGGTAGCTTTTCGGTGACTCTGATTGCTTCTTCGAATCAGGGGAGATAGGGAAATGATGTGATTTTTCACTATGTACATTAGTGCAACAATAGTCTTGTTTTGTTGCGGGTGGGGATGTTTATATGCCACGGCAGAAACCTATGTATGCATGATTTACATAATTACAATTTTTTTTTTTGTACAGTATATTTTTTCTTAAATCTATTATGTGAAAGTAATTTGTTTAAATGTTTGCATTTTATGTCATTAAGCAGCAGTTTTATTGTGAAATAGTACATATTATATTCATTATAGTTAGTATTGTATAATACCATGGTGTAATTTTGTATACAACTGATTGTATAAAATTATAAATCAAAATATAGTTAATATTATAAATTTACAATTATAAATCAACACAGTGCTCTCTTTGTTTACTTTGCTGTTTTGGGTTTTATTTCTTATTGCTTGTGCAAAAAAAAAAACAATGATAAATAATCATAACACAGCTTTGTATGACGCCATATTTAATGATGATTTTATATACAGTATAGCAATGCATAATGATGATGATGATATTGTTGATGATAATATTGATGATGATGATAATAGACCAGGAGCCCAGGGGTGTCAGCATAGCTGGAAAGTTAACCAATTTCTGTGTATATAGTAATGTTCTATGTGCCTGTCTATGTAGGAGAATGGGCATCTGCCGGTCCCATTGTGGTGGGTGTGGTCAGGAGGGGCATAAAAAGGGCCCCAAAAATTGAGCTAGAT